CAAAGATCGCATGTTTTGTTTACTATTACTTTCTATAGTTTGTAATAGTCAATAAATATTTGTTGAAGAAATGAGAGAGAGAGAGAGATAAAGGTTGATCAAATGTTGTGGATGGAGTTCAGTGATAGAGCGCTTGCCTAAGAATTGATCAAAGACAGTCACAAAAGGCAATAATAATATTTAAAAAAATTGGAGAATTCAAGAGTAAAACTAGAAGGAAAATTTTAAGCCCTGTTTTTCCCATGTAAAAACTTTTTCAGGCATTGAGGACATGTCACATAGAATTTAACTTTTTTAAAAAAATTATACATGGACACAATATCTTTATTTTGTTTATTTATTTTTATGGGGTGCTGAGGATCGAACCCAGTGCCTACATGTACAAGGCAAGCGCTCTGCCACTGAGCCACAACCCCAGCCCCTTGAATTTAACTTTTTTCATTCAAAGATTAATTTTAAACATAGAGTGAAAACTCTTTAAGCTGTCAAAGCATCAACTTTTAGCAATGGAGTGGATGTTGTTCTTTTAAAAGGTCTCCTAATATTTCTTTTAATGTGTTGGAGCAGGAAAGCTTATCATTTCCCCTAACACCATGTGGATAAAATACAATTAAATGGTGGGAACCAGAAAAAAAAAAAAAAAAAAAAAAAAACTAAAAAACCTTTTCAGTTGCTTAAATCATTGATTTTGGGTTCTTTCTTTTCTATTTCTAAAAACTACACTTTCCTGTAAGCTGAGTGTAAGCTTTATCCCACAAGTTTTTTTTACCCCCTCAACATTTATTCTTTTAAATATTTTGTTTTAGTTATAGTTGGACACAATACCTTTATTTTATTTTTATGTGGTGCTGAGCATCAACCCTAGCACCTTGCATGTGCTAGGTGAGTGCTCTACTGCTGAGCCACAACCCCAGCCCTTCCCTCAATATTTTGCCATAAAAAATTGCCATCAGCCGGCACATACCTATAGTCCTAGCAACTTGAGAAGCTAAGACAGGAGGACCAGTTTGAGGCAAACTTCAGCAACTTAGAGAGATCCTGTCTCAAAATAAAAAATTAGAAAAGTCTGGGGATGTAGATCAGTGGTAAAGCTCCCTGGGTTCAATCAAAACAAAACAAAAACAAAAACAACTGCTACATTGCAATCACCCAGCAAAATTGAGAGTGTTTTGCAGAGAATACTTGTGCACTCACTATTAGATTCTGCCATTAATTTTTTTTTCTATACTTTATCATATATCTATTCATTTCTCTATCTTTTTTTTTTTTTTTTTTTTTTTTAAAGAGAGAGGTGAGAGAGAGAGATAGGGAGAGAGAGAGAATTTTTGATATTTATTTTTTAGCTTTCGGCAGACACAACATCTTTGTTTGTATGTGGTGCTGAGGATCGAACCCCGGGCGGCACGCATGCCAGGCGAGCGCGCTACCGCTTGAGCCACATCCCCAGCCCCCGCATTTCTCTATCTTTGTATCCACAATTTATCTTATTATAGCTCTCAAGTTTTGATATCATTCCATGTTCCAAGCTTGTTATCATTCCATTTTAAATATTATTTTCATTGTGATTTTTTTAACCTATAAATTATTTAAAAATTTTTTTTAGTTGTAGTTGGACACAATACCTTTATTTTATTTATTTATTTTTATGTGGTGCTGAGGATCGAACCCAGCACCTCACATGTGCTAGGCAAGCACTCTACCACTAAGCCACAACCCAGCCCTAACCTAATTATTTAGAAGCGTGTTGGTTAATTTCAGGACACTTGAGGATATGATATATTCATATAATGAAATACTAGTTCATCATAAAAAGTTACAAGGTACTACTGAAACATTCTACACCATTGAAAATATGCTAAGCAAAAGAAGCCAGTCATAGAAGATCATATTTTTATTTATATGTAGAGTCTATAATAAGCAAATCTACAAGGATAGAAAGTAGTGATTGCCTAGTACTGGGGAAGGGTGTTAGTGAAATGAGGAATGACTTGTTACTGATTATGGGGTTTCTTGTTAGGGTAATAAAAATGTTCTAAAATTGGTTGTGAATAGGCTATATGAATAGATCAAGAACATTGAATTATATACTTTAAATGGGTAAAATGTATGCTATGTGAATTATTTCTCAAAATTGATGACAAAATTTTTAAATGAGTTTATCAATTAACTTAGCAAGGTCACAGGCTATAAGATCAATATACAAAGGTCCACCACATTTCTATATGCTAGCTAGAAATCAACAATCTGAAAATAAAATAAAATACCTTTATTTACAGTAGCATCAAAAAGGATAAAATAGGAATAAAGTTTTCAGAAAAAAATAACAAACTTGTATGCTAAAAATTATAGAACATTGCTGGTTGAAATTTAAAAAGATCAAAATAAAAAGAGAGGGGCTGGGGTTGTGGCTCAAGTGGTAGCGCGCTCACCTGGCATGCGCACGGCCCCGGGTTTGATCGTCAGCACCACATACAAACAAAGATGTTGTGTCTGCCAAAAACTAAAAAAATAAATATTAAAAAATTCTCTCTCTCTCTCTCTTTAAAAAAAAAAAAGAGAGAGGCAGTGCATGTTCAGGACTTCAAAGATTCAATATTGTGAAGATAAATGGTAATTCTCCTTAAATTTATCTATAAATTCAGTCAATATCAAAACCTTGCAGCCTTTTTTTTTTCTTTCTAGAATTTGACAAACTGATCCTAAAATTTACAAGAAAAACTGAATGACCAGAATAGTCAGTTTTGAAAACAGAGAGGAAAGTTAGAAGAATTACACTACCTGATTTCAAAACTTAGTATAAAGCCACACTTATAAAGACCATGAGGCATTGCTGCAAGGCTATGCATATTTATCAATGAAACAGAATTTAGAGTCCACAAAGAAACTGTTATACATGTCATTTGATTTTCAATAAAGATATACTTTTAATCCAAGATTTCTCTACTTATAAAAGCCCTGATATAAAACAGTCCCTCTGGGTTTGCTGCAGTATAACTCAGACTGCATTGCGATCAAGCCAGCGAATGCATCATTGTCTGCAGAATAAATTGTTACATCATTCTTGGTCCTTGGCATGTTACAATGCTGGGATCAGTGTGGGCTTCTAGTTGGATTTTGTGCCAGGTATGTGTCTACCTTAGAGACACTATTCATGGTAGATTAAAATTCTTCAAATTTGGGGAAGTGAATATGTTTTTTTTATTTTTGTCTTCTAATATTACAGAAAAATTGTACGTAGTATCCACAAGAGTTGGAACTCTAGTTTTGCTTTTTATCTTGGTATGCTGTATGTGTTTGGTTGTTGTAGAAAGATTTGCATAAACTTGGTTACTGAATGTGCCTTCTTCTGTTTATTTTTCAGATGTAGTCCATTGCCATACAGGCTGTCTTATTCTATACTCAGTGCTTTATTTGCTTTTTGAATATCAAACTTTATAACAAAGGCAAAGAATGCTTCTTTTTTGTTAACTGTCTATGTTTATACATGTTTAGATGTGTGTGACATTGAGCTGCTCCTACATCTGTGGTTGCTGTAATTCTCCTGAACAAAGGCTTCAGTGCTCTACTTTTGAGATGTTTTATCCTGAAGACTACATGTAAAGACAGAAGGGCTCCTCTGTGGCAGCTTCGTTCTCTAAAGGAACAAGTAAACTTGGCTATTACCATCAGGCACTAGCATGGTGTAGAGGGATGGCATAAAGTGGTACAGACAAGAGAACAATTAGGGACTTTCTTATTTTATTATGGCTGGTGGTCACATTAGATTGCCTGATTGATTATCCAGGTGACCCAAATTGAAAATATACTAAGATTAAGATTTTTTATTTTGATCATCAATCTTCTATCTGTGCTTTAGGTCATTTGTATACTTCTGTTTGGAGAGTCTCTGGAAGGTTAATAAGCCCTCAGTGTGATTGACATCAGATTATCAACTATTTCTATCCAGCACTTTGGTGGGTGATTTTTTTCTAATGGTGTATGATTCAGATTAAATATGACCCCAGTGAATTATAACAATCCTGAGGACTTGTCTCAGGAAGTTGCCTTTCTATAGGTTCTAAGCTTTAGGAGTCTTTTGCTATTGTTTTTCCTTGCATTACAAGAGAGCAATATAATGAGAGCATCTACTTAATTCAAAGCTAAAGCAGGAAGATGTTTCTGTATAAAGTTCAGTCATTGTTTATTTTTAAAATTTTCTACTGCAAATTTGTTTTCATAGTGATATATATGTCCCAGTGTTATTTTGAGGCAGGATTTTTCTTCTCTGCACAAACTAGATTAGACCTCTTTGTCCAAAATATTTGTCCAGTCTCCTTTGTCCTTTAAAGATTTTATTGGCATCTTTTATTTTGCATTAGCTTCATTCTCATTCTGAAATTTTGGTGACTAAAATTTTTGTGCATTTGTAAGTATCACTGTGTTGTTCTGAAAATTAGAACTATGACTCCTACTTTAGTGGCACATTTCCTTTCTACTTGGCTTTCTTTTCCTCTGTACCTGCTTTCACCTTCTTGGAGTGTGATAATCAGTATTATTTATTTTGATTGGATCTCAGAAATTACCTTTAGGCTGTGCTGTCTTCCTCCCTCAGGCTTTCATGACCCCATTATTTTCTTGGTTTAGTTGTCTTTGTAAACTTTGCCTTCTTTTTTGCCCTGGGGCCTCCTGTCATGTGCTCCTGGTAGTCAGGAGAGGCAGTGGAGCTTTTTTCTGGTAACTGTCAGAAGAAAGTTGAGTTAAACATGTTTGTTGCAGCTAAAACAGTACTGCTGTTTTCCAGTTATACAAGATTTCTCCCCCTGTCCTCTCAACCCCCTTGGAAAGTCAACTAATTCTGTGTATGAACCAAGTGAGGGGGAAAATGCAAGAAGGAGGAAAGGTGGGGAAATTGGGGACAAAGTAGGCAAAAATCCTGTAGTTTGAGACCATCAAGAATACTCTAGTCTGGTTGAAGCAGGGCCAGGAAGGCATAGTTATCTCTTGTCCTTGTGGGTTTTAAGCAGCTGCAACAGGAAGAACTGTGACTTTTGTTTACAAGGCCAAAACCTGAAGAAAAAGATTCCATTCCTTTGCCATCTTTATATGGAGGGTTCTGCAGAGGAAAATAAGGAAATGAGAGATTACATGCTTCACAGGTAAGTTTTAGGAGCCATAAGGGGGTAATATATTCTTTTAAAAACAGAATGTACTGACAGATAAGCCCTAGAGTTCATGGGAAATTTGGATGATTTTTTTGTGTGTGTGTGTGTATGAAAAAGAAGGCTATTTTTTAAGAAAATAAATAAAAGCTAGTATATTTGCTTCTGAATTTCTAAACCTTTATTTTACATTCAGAATTTGATAGGAAGCTATATGAACCCATGTGTGATATTGTTATTCTGGAAATAACACCTCTGCATGGGCCTTGTGGTGCTGTTACTTCATTAAGGGAGTTCAGTCTGTGCCAAATTTGCTCACTGGATTTGTCTAATATTTCATGAGTGAAGTCTCTTCAATTTGTGTGAAGAGAGGATATTAGGTTTTTTTTTTTGTATACATTGCATCCTGTTGAAGGTAGTTTTGCTGAAAACCTTTTTAGAATATGTGTCTGGACCAGAAAAGGTGCCTACTGCAGCTGTCTTGGCATGTATCCAGATTGGAGTGGTTGAGGATGTCAAACTTATTAAACCATGACGCAAAGAAAAGACCACTGACTCCAATTTAAATCAAATTAAAGCAAGCTTGTAATTCCGGCCAGCTGGGACTGTCTCTCCCGAAACTTGTGGGAACAGAAGACAGCCCCTTAGCTCTCTAGGAGCGCAGCTTTATAGCACAGAAAGTTGCAAAAAGGGAGGTGTCTTAAGAGCTCACAGATAACTGGATTTTGACAAGCATAATACAAAGGCAGGTAGTAGGTTAATGGTCCAGCACTTATGGAGTAAATTTAGATCCCAACATCAGAATTTATGAGGCGCCACTAGAGTTTCAGAGAGGGTTGTTATCTGGTCAGGGAAAGCCAGATATGGGTGAGTTCAAGGCACAGGCAGGCATTCCCAGCAAGTTTAGAAATCGCAGTAATTTATAGTAAAGCCAAAACTAACTTTTCATGCCTTTGTGATGAGATGGCTCCCAATCTTAAGAGGGAATTAGGCTGAGTTTATCAAAACTCTCAGGCTGAGGAGGAAGTGAGTGGTGCTTTCACAGGCCTTCTTCAGGCCTCTAACAGGTCTGTGCCTCCCCAGCAGAGGATTGACAAAAAGAATGATTGGCTCCAAAACACTCATTAAGGGTCCCTCCATTATCTTTTTTTTTCCCAATATATTTATTTTTCAGTTTTTCTTTTTTTTTTTTTTTTTTAGGTGGACACAATATCTTTATTTTTATGTGGTGCTGAAGATTGAACCCAGTGCCTCATGTGTGCTAGGCGAGCACTCCACCACTGAGCCACAACCCCAGCCCCTCCATTATCTTTTTGTTCGTTTGTTTTGTCATCTGTAGTTTTTATTTTGAACAAAATTATCTGAAAATTAAACGGGAATTTGGCAAAATCAGAAAAGAAACAAAAAACAAAAAAATTTGTCTTCAGAATAATCATTCTTTTCTTCTCCCTTTTGGGGGAAAACCAAACAAAATTTGTGAGTCAAAGAAATAAAACCTGAGGTATTGAGTATAAATTATATATATCATATATATATATACACACACAAGTATATGTAAAGAGGTTTTAAAATATGTATAAATATTTTAAATATATTAAAATGGTTTTTTTATATATAACATTTTATACTTATATATGCAAAGGAAACATTGTTTTTTATATATGAAATGAACATATATATAAACAAAATATGTATGTTTGAGTTTGTGTGTATATAGTATTTGAATGTTTATGTATTCTCCTGTTAGAAGGTAGAATGTTTGGGAGGTGATGATGGGATTTGGGATTAGTGCCCTTATAAAATAGTCCTTAGAGAACTGCCTTTCCCTTCCTCCATGTGAGAACATAATAAGAAAATACCATATCTGAATTTGCCGGTGACTTGATCATAGATTTCCCAGTATGCAGAACTGTAGAAATAAATTTCTGTTGCTTAAAAGCCACCCAGTTTATGGTATTCTGTTGTAACAGCTTAAAGGGAGTAAGTTTGTGTGTGTGTGTGTGTGTGAGAGAGAGAGAGAGAGTTAGATTTTCTATTGTCAATGAACAGAGTTACAGTGATTTAGTTTCAAGATCTGAATTGGCTTTATTTTAAATTCTAGAATATGGTGACACTTCATTGCATAAATAATAAATATTCCCATGAACCAAGCAGAGGAGGTTGGTTTTATAGACAGAAAAAGATTGAAGAAAACAAAAAACAAAAACCTGATTGATCTTTCATCGTTACTTTTCATGGACAAGGAGACAGAACAACAGAAAAATACCTGGTTAACATCAGGTTACTTTAGGTGTTCTTTTTTTTGTATGAAAGGAATTAAGCAGAGGCAATTAAGAGTATATGACATTAAAAACTGGTGTATTTGGAAAATTTGGGTGTTCGCTCACTATCCCTGATTTCTCTGGAAAGTCAGATAAACGGCTTAATTTCAACTTGATGACAAAGAACTTTAGTGTAAATGACTCCATCTTGATTTTTAGCTTGGTCTATTGGAGCCTAGTGCAGGAGCTTAGTCCGTAATGAAGACCTCTGATAATTTTTGTCTAACACTATGGTTAAATACATCAGACAGGTAATCTGTATATATTTTTTCCAAGGAGGTATCCTTCTTGGAGCAGTTTATCCTTTTACAGTTTTTACAGTCATCTTGGGACTTCTTCCATGTTGGATCCTCTATTGCCTTGTCTCTTTTTCTTGGTTTACTCCATCCTTTTGGAAGACAACAGTATATAATAGCTGCCTTAGAAAAGGTATGTGAGGAGTGAAAATTTACCTTTACAGTTGATCCCCTTGTTTTCATCATGGTGTCTCATTTTTCTCTGTGCTATCTGTCATGCCCAGTCCCTACCTTAACTAGGGCCTCTGTGATCTCACCACTTCAGAGAGTAAATCCAGTAAAATTTAATTGCTAGCCTGGGATAGAGAAAGAATAATTGTGCTACTGTGTGAGAACATGGAGGGAGTTTAAGAATCTGTAATGTTCTTTTCCAAGTGCTGCTTCTTAAAGCCCTCCAGTCAGTTCTGCTTTTAGTTTAATCCTGCCCCTGTTTGCCTGACTTTGTGTTAGCAAGTTTAAACTATATTCACCAAAGAAACTTAAATTTGTGTGGTATTTTGCAGTTAAGGACGTTATACATGTTCTGTATCCCTTTCTTTAAACTTACTTATTATTTAAGTATAATTTTAATGCATCAATAAAAAATAAGATTGCCTATTATTAATTTTTTTTGAAGATAGTTCAACTTTGCCTATTAAATGCATAAGTTTTTTTTTTGGGGGGGGGGGTTACTATGGATTAAACCTAGGGCTTTGGGCATGCTAAGCAAAGCAAGAGCTCTACCACTGAGCTACCTGCCCAGCCTCCTCCACTTTTTAATTTTTATTTTGAGATGGGAGTCTCACTAAACTGCCTAAGTTCTAGGTGACTTTCTTTCTTTTTTTTTTTTTTTCATATTTACTCTTCAGTTGTAGTTGGACACAATACCTTTATTTACTTATTTATATGTGGTGTGTTGAGGATTGAACCCAGGGCCTTGTATGTGGTAGGCAAACACTCTGCCCCTGGCCACAATCCCAGCCCTATATAACTTGCTTTCTTATAGAAAGATAACAGTATTTTGAAAGTTACAGTTGAATAAAAAAGAAAAAAATTCTCCTAAAATGTGTTGCCTTTTATGCATGCTTGTTCCTCACTGTCCAAATTTATTTTTTTATAACTTTAAGATAATGCCTATTTATATGTCCTTTCAGGTCAGTAAATCATTTCACTTATTTATAATATTAGCCATTCTTTCAGTCCTTAAGGGAATTTGGATTTGTAACGATTAGTATGGCAGGGATATATTTGGGACATTAGAAGATGTGAGAAGGAAAGATGTAAGTAGTCTGTTCTACAAAACCATCTGTTAAAAAACCATAGCTGGGCATGATGATGTACCCTATTATCCCAGCAACTCTAGAGGCTGAGGCATGAGGATTGCGAGTTTGAGGCCATCTTTATTAACTTGCCAAGACCCTGTCTCAAAACAAAAAATAAAAAGAACTAGGGATATAGCAGTAGAGTGCCTCTGAGTTTAGTTCCTGGTACTAAAAAACAAAAGAACTAAAAACCCCCACAGGGCTGGGGTTGTGGCTCAGTGGTAGAGTGCTTGCATAGTATGTGTGAGGTACTGGGTTTGATTCTCAGCACCACATATAAATAAATAAACTAAAGGACCGTGGACAACTACAAAAATATTTTTAAAACAAAACAAACAAACAAAAAAACCCAAGAACACCAACAAACCCAACCACTTGGTATTTGCTTTAAAGGCCTAATCTTCACATGAATTACACTGTGACCATATATTCAATGCAGTTTAACTAAATGTAGTACTGTAGAGTTGTCAAGTTCAGGGGCTCTGGAGTCAGGCTAAATTTAGATCTCATTTTTGTAACTTCTACTGTCTCTGATCATGGGCAAGTTACACAATTCCTCTAAGCCTTATTTTCCTAACTTGTAAAATGGTGCTCAAATATCATTATCATTATTGTGAGGATTAATATGCCAGTGCATGTGAGAGCTTAGCACAGTGTCTGTCCCATAGCAAGTAGTCAGAAATGGTGGTGGTTATTTTTATTTAGTTTTCAATAATTATTAATAATCATCATTCAGAAATGTTTGAGCAACTTTTATATATGCCAATAACTCTTTGGTGCAGGACATATATATATAATGAATAGGAGTTCTCATCCTCAAAGGATCAGTAAAAGTCTCTGACCTCAAAGGACTCACTATCAAGGAAGGCAGTTGTGTAAACTCATGTAATAGTCCAGTGTGATTAGTAGGAAAGATGTATGTGTAGGTTCTGGTGTGGCACAAAGGGGGCTCACCCTCATTAAGGGTGAAGCTGGAAAATCAGTGTGAGCCAAAGGAGCTCACTGGGAGAATTGACAGTTGCTTTTTTTGTTTGTTTTGCAGTGCTGGGGGACCAAATCCAGGGCCCAGTATACGCTAG